AGAAGTGTGACTTTGAGTGATCAAATTATTAAAAGATGTGAACGATTTAGATATCTTGGGTCTGTTTTTCAAAGCGATGGTGATATAGATGGGGATGTTAATAGTAGAATTCAAGTTGGTCGGTTGAAGTGGAGGAATGCTTCAAGCCTTTTGTGTGAAAGAAAAGAACCGCTTAGACTGAAAGGAAAATTTTATAAGACGGTGGTGAGACCTGCAATGCTATATGACGCTGAATGTTGGCCTTTAAAAGAGAAGCATAATAATAAGTTAAGTGTTGCCGATATGAGAATGATTAGGTGGATGAGTGTCTTTACACTTAGAGACAAAATACGAAATGAATATATCCGTGATAGGGTTGGTGTAGCTCCTGTGACGGACAAAATTAGAGAAAGTCGTCTTAGATGGTTTGGTCACATTAAACGTCGATCATCTGATGATCCGATTAGGAGAGTAGATGTTTTAGATTCGACTTGTGTTAAGAAAGGCAGAGGTAGACCTAGGAAGACTTGAGCTTATTGTATTAAAAATTATCTTAATTTACTAGAACTAAATTAAAATATGACACTAAATAAGACGCAATGGAGAAAAAGGATTCATGCGATCCCACGAAGTGGGATTAAGGCTTTGTTGTTGTTGTTGTACTGCCCTAGATGGTCAAGAATTATGACTTGATGCATCGGAATCCTATCAAACTAACAATTTTCACCATAGGAATCATCAGCACTAATGCAGACTAAAAGTATATCTATAGCATTTCAGGCAAGAACATTGATTAATCTAGAGTAAACAAAACAAAGAAACCAGAATTGAAGTTCACCAACAGCATACTACAACAAGAAACCACTAATCAGAATCTGTAATTATATATACAAGAAACAGCTACAAAAATTATTGTGGCTTGCAACATTAATAAAATATTTTATGCAAAGATAGGGATATTTGAGGAAAGAGCTGGATATTGAATAAATGAGCTCATACAGAGTTGAGAGGCATCTTGCTGCAAGAACCTTAACAATGAATGTACATTTATACATGAAATATAATAAATTTTAATGCAAGGAAATGAAACTGCCTGAGATACTTCTTGATAATCCATGAAATTAGGAGCAAGCTAAAATGAAGTATTATGGAAAAGCAAGGAAATTAACAATACCAACCCTCTGCCCAAACATGATTGTACTTGAAGTTTGTGAGTAATGCCGAGCTGACGGACTAACTGTAATGATAAGGGATGTGCGTGCAGTTCCTGCATAGGAGGGAAGCAAAATCCTCAAGGATAATATCTGTCAAGCACGACAGGTCAAGTGAAATTGTTCTCGTACTCTTCATGACAGTTCAAGGGTTCAAATCCTTCTTCAAAAAAAAAAAAAAAAAGAAGAAAAGCCTACTTATTAAGCTGATTAGCTTTACTGAGCTTTCTTGTTTACTCAATGGTATTTTCTAGCCATTTACTTAATATAAAGAAATTAAGCAACATTTATTTCTATCAATTTTCAACTCTAAAATGATTCAATGTGTGGACTAAAAAATGAAAAAAAAAAAAAACAAAATTCAAAGAGATAACTTGCCATCACTGAAAAACTTAGTAAATGGATAAATTCAGTATCATAAAAGAAAAGGGGGAAATTACATACATAGCACCCAATTATTATGGATTTACCTATCTTACACCTAAGCTTTCATTTTTACACATAGCACTTTACCTATAGATGAAAAGATGGATTTGACTATTAAAAGGTGATAATGAATGCTAATTTTCATATGATGTTTGTAATTATGAAAGTTTAGGTGTGAGATAGAAAAATATGAAAGTTTTAGGTGCTATGTATATAAATGCCTTTAAAAAAAAAACCACTTTTAATTCTGAAAAATTAACTTTAAAATTCACGTGACTCACTTAAATGTAATTATATGAGCAGAAAATAAATATATAGCAGAAAAATGGAAAAGATAAAACCTCCAAATGAATCAGATAGCAGCCTAGTGAGCTTGGAGTCTCTTGTTGGAATATGAGGACTGTTTTCAGCTAAAGCATTTATGCATTTACCAAGGGAATTTAGAGAAAGATTTATGAATTTGGCCTCTTCGAGCATGTGACCATCAACACCTTCAAAGAAGAAACATGAAGTGGAGAGCTAAGAACATGGAAATGAAACTGATTTAATGAATAGAAAGACAACGATCCTTTAGCAACTTTAAAGCATTTAAAATATACTATGAAAAGCCATCGGTGCAGAACTTCATAGTAGCTTGTTATGAAAGTACTTTCAATTCACCGAGATAATAGGATTGTTACATTAAATTTACATCATTTCAAAATTTACATCCAAACAAAAGGGTGCGGTCACTAAGCAAACCAGATTCATCTATCCGCTCTGATCCGGCAAGGTCAATGATTAGCAGCTTGCTTTTTAAAAGAGTGGACATCTGTGAAGATTCTTCATCATTATTCATGGTCGCCGATAGAAATTCATTTTCATTATTCCCCTTTGAAGATCTCTGTATATGAACCTAGATAGGCATCAAGAGTAAGTAATAAAGAATCTTAAAAACAGTTAAGCTTAAAAAATGGCAATTTCTTAAGCTAGGATCTTGAACAAGTAGCCCTACCACAAGAATTGCATGACTCCTTGAAGACCTTGCATTCATCTTTGTATTTGAAGCATGGCGATTTCTTTCACCAATTTGCAACACTTGAAGAAATTGGTCAGTATCACTGATTTCAACAACTGTGGCACAAGGAAAGCAAACTTCTCCAGATTTGGAGTCTTTGGTAAGGGAAATGTTACTTTTATCAGGTGCTAGTAGGTCTTGTATAGATTCTAGATATAACTACAACAAATTAGAGAGCTATGTGAGAAGTTTCTCCTGCTAGATTAAGGAAATGTAGAGCATTTAACTGTGCAAATTCTAATCTAAATTATGCAATTTTAAGATGTAAATGTCTAGATACAAAAATATGTACTATTAAAAAAGGTTCATCAATATTACTTTATGACAGTATACATTAAAATTAAAATTGGCCTGATGTTCTCAGTTCTGATGTCAAAGTAAAAAAGTTGAGCAACCTCTTGAACAAAGGTTTAGCCTATCTAGTCCAAGACAACTCAAGCATTCATTTATGATACAATAACTTACTCGAAACATGATGAAACGAATCACCATAAAGCATAAAGGATTGACAGCATATGCATGAGTGGAGCGCGACTATATCTGCACACTGCGCGAGGGGAAGTACAGTTTGATTGCTTCTATTGCATTGGATTTGTCGCTACTTCCATATAATGCCGCACGACTCTAGCTATAGAAAATTTTGACTACTTCCTTCTATTGACTTGAAGTTCATTTAACAGTGGTGTGCTTCGTGCTTGAATTGAACGCTTCATGTTTTTTCTTGAGCGAATTAAGACTTATAGTTTAGGTTAGAACTTAGAGGATTATGAGAAGTTAGTCACGTAGGAGGGTATTTTTGAGTTATAAATAGTACCATCAAGCATGTACTTTATAATGAATGGTTAAATAATTTTTATTTTCCTCTCAATAGTGTTTTAGACGTGGATTATTCAAGTATTTGCAAAACTACACACCAACATCTAGGGATGTGATTTTTCCTATACTAGTAACAGGCCTGGGGCATATATCTCCAAATCGGTGAATAATATTGTCTTCTTTCAACAAAACTACTTTGAGATTCATTTGTGCGTGCCTGTACATTATGTTTGTTACATATCAGTTTCAATCTTCCCGGTGAAAATCTAAAATGCAATGGAGTTTTATATTTGTTCGCAAATTTCAAGTGAAATTTCATATATTAGCTACTTTTATAATATCATTTTGGAATAAATTAAAAATGTTTCCTCTTTTGCATCAAAAAGGAATAACATTTGACCAAAATATAGTAAGAATTGGAGGACTGTGGCTTTGTGCGTTTCTTTACACATCCGACCCTAGATTTACATAAATGAGCCTTAAACCCTACGTCATTATAGGTTTATAAGTGAAGATTTAAATTCTACATTGTCCATTAGAATCACATAGCATAGAGTTTTAATGCGTGCTTCAACTTTCAACAACTTCTTAGCCTGTCATGCAATAAAAAGCAACCAAGTGAACACAAATAGAAAAAGGCATACAGAGACTATATTGATATAAGCTTAAAACAAAGTTGGTATGATTTCCAACCAACTCTCATTCAGAGGAAAAAGCCATATCAGTAGATAAAGTTTTAGAGATATACCTGTAAGTAAGAAATTGAAAGTGTATCAAGACCAGGAGAAATTTCCGCAAGAACATCCTCTATAGCTCTAACCATTATACCACGTTCAGAAGAATTGTCAATTCCGAGGCTGCCAATTGTGTATGTTTTACCAGTACCAGTTTGACCATAAGCCATCACAGTCCCATTGTAACCACTCAATACACTCTGTCAAATTGCATTAAATTAAAGGATTCAATTGGTGAGGACATTGTAAGTATGTTGTAGGTGTTGGAATCAGTCCAGTACAAAGTACATAAATGAAAGGAAAACATCATATGTAGTAATTGTAAAAGCCCTTCATTCAATCAGAATACTTTAAAAAAATTATCTGACCTCATTATACTTTTAATATGCTGGAAATATCTATTGGGGAATGCATTAAACAATAATTTTAAAAGAGATCAATCTTCCGTATCTAATCATAGTGATCTGAGATTAGGCATGTAAACATTGCTAGAATGAAGCCTTAGACGATGCAAATAATTTGAACATCAAAGAAAAAATAGGTATCACAATGCTCAGCTACAAATCAGCACTTAAATGTGCTATTATAAAAAATTAACAAAATTTAAATATTAAAATTGTTATCAATATATTTTTTAAGAATATAGTAGATTATTTTAATTGGGTCTGACTCAATGATCGTTATTTGAATTATTCACATAAAATTTCATTGACTTATACATATTGCTTATTTGATTGTGTTAAATATTTATGCAAAACAAAGACATAAAACTGTCTTGCTCTATTCTCATGAACACTCAAGCACATTACAATTTGGCATCGTTTGTGTGAATATTCCAAATTTTCTAAAAGTAGTTATCCAATTGTTGACAGATCCACTGCCTGCAACCACAGATCTTCTTGGTCTAGCACTCATTAGTATAAAATCAAAACTTTCAACCAAGCATGTCGTAACCAAGTAGAAGTAAGCCCACAAGGCCTGTCCCTACTCCCTAGATAATCATATGCATAAGGCAAAAGAAATCAAGTTTAAATCATTCAAGTAGTAGAAAAAATCGATAACCACCTCCCGCTCTAGCTTCATTACATAGTACCACTCAAGTTTGGGTTTGACTCGAACCTGACCCAACCCAAATACGTAAAATTTATTTTATGTTTAAAAATGTCAGATCCAAATCCGACTCAACACAAACCCAGTTGACATGATTCTAACTAATGATACACTAATTATATGCTTCAAACAATACATGCCAAGACAAACGAATTCATCCAAATATAACCCAATAAGACTAGTTAAAAGTAGAATGCGTTTTAGACGCAAAAACAAAACGAATTATATTTGGTTGATTTTGATTTTCTAGTCAAATATAGCATGACCCTAATGTTAAAAAGGTCAATATTTTTTATCCTCGACTCTTATACAGTTTTTGCCAACTCAAACCTAATTATTTTTTTATTTATATATGTGTACAGTGTCATGTCAAGTAATTCATTGAAACTTTAAAACCCTCCTACCAAAATCTCTTTCCGTTCACTTCTTCAATAAAATTAATCGTTAGCAACACATCATTGTCAATAGCTTAATACCCCTCCCCAACTTAATAACTTATTTCCACTAAAAGATGTGCATCAATTTAACATGTCGACAAGGAGTTTGAAAATCCATGCCCTTATCCTTTTTGTTTCATATTTTCTTTACCCTCCTGCATCACATCTTTGAGAAGAAGTAATGAAATAACAGAAAATAAATAAAATAAATAAATAACGATAATAATAAATAAATAAGGGAGTCATTTTGGAAAGACGCCTCCTTTACCACTTGACTCCTTATTCGATTGTATCCAGGGAGGAGCGAGAGAGGAAACTTTTATTTAAAGGTATGTGTAATATCTTAAATAAGTTAACAAGTTAATATACCGTTAGATAAAAAATTGTATATGCGAGGGTATGTTTAGTTAATTAATGCAAAGTTTTATTGAATCAGAAATCTAAATATAAGAATTTTGGCCTAAAAAGAGTTGGTGACGTGGACAAACTAGAGAGGAAGGTGATCGACCTGAAAGCCTGTAAGGTAAATGTTAAACCTTATGTTATTAATGAAAGTAATGAAGTAAATAGCTATATTGATTAATTAATGTTATTAAACTTTATCACGGCTAGGAAGTGAGGAAGAAGGTCGGCTAATCCTTTGGATTTGAGGAAGAGGACTTATAATTTTAAAAAATAAGGTATGTCTTAAATTAAAGTTTAATTTAGTTAATTAAGAATTAATATTTAACAAAATATTAATGTTTAACTGCAATTTAGGTTGAAACACATTTAAGTTTAGAAGGTCAGGAGTTAGGGAGTGTGGCAAGTAAGCTAAGCAGTGTTAGTGATTATTTTTTTTTTATACATTAAATTAAAGTTATTGAAAATGAATAGTTGCTTTATTAAATAGTTTAAAATAGGTATCTCATTCAAGTCTTGCAATTTGGTAATTTTAAATGGTATCCTAAATTGGAGGAAATTAATAGACATATAAAGATGCATTTTAAATGATTTAAAATCATATGAAATGAAAGATGAATGTTTAAGTCATACGGGATTACCCTCAGATGCTACTGGCAGGGGATGTAATATACTTGTGCACAATAAAAGAAATAGTAAGTGTGAATATTCAGGTATAATTTGAGGGTACCTTTAAGTAAATTTTGAGGATATATTCGGATATGCGGCAATCCTGAAATGACTTTTAAAAAAGTTAAAATAGTAAATACTTAAAGTGAAATGAGAAGAGATAAATTCAAATTTTAAGGAAATGAACTGCATTTTTTTATCATTTATGCATAGCATAAGCATCGTGATTTAATGCATATTAAATCATAATTACTCACTAAGTTATACTTACACTTGCAATTAATATTTTATTAAAAGAGAATGAAAGTTTTAAATTGAATTGTTTGATATGAGAGACTTGGTTTACAGGAGAAGGACCACTGCTACTAAGTAGTTTTATAATAATACTTTTTTTACAGTTTCTTTTAGACATTGATATATTGTTTAGTACTGACTTGAGATGTTGACTTTGGATATTATTGTTTCTAGATGTTTTAAATTTTATTGCACTTTGTGGTTAGTGGCTCTTTTATATGTATTGGAAGTTTTCAAAGTGTGAATAGTTAGATGTTAATTCCGCCCGACCGCAGTTCCCGCCTTAATTAATTATAAAGCACAGGTGCGGGTCATGATAAAAAATGGTATTAGAGAGACTAGGTTTAATTATAATCCAAAAGAATCATTATGAAAATTAAATTAATTTAAAACTTACATTGATGAAAGATTAAATTGTGTCTAATTATAATTATTTTCATGTTATTCCAAAAATATGAAAAATTATGGAGACGAAGCTAAAGATGATATTGTAGAAGTTAATGCACCCCCGTAGGCTAATGTGAATATCAATGCATTTACTGAGATGATAACTGTAGTAACACAATTGATTAAAAACACTCAGCTCAGACTAGTTCCAGTGGAGTAGGTCAGATGGATAAGTACCTAAAATTATATCAGGACATAGAGCCACCTCTCTTTTCTGGAGGAAGAGGTCTGGTAGATGCTAAAAACTGGCTGATGATGGTAGAGAAGATTCTAGATGGATTTTCTTCTCCTCCAAAGAGGATGGTTACATTGACAACATTTGCATTAGAGGGAGAAGCAAAGAGATGGTGGCATGATCAGCTGCAGAAGAAATTTGGAGATAGAGCCAGTCACCTGAATTAGTGAGGCGAGTTCATGAGCACCTTTAGAGATTGGTCTGTATCACTATCTACCAAGAGTTGAATGCAAAATAAGTTTATCAGGTTGGTACAGGGTAATCGCTTGATTATGTAGCATGAAGTTGAATTCACCATGCTCTTAAGGTATGCACCTCAGTTGATTCCTAATGCGGAGAAGTGCCATCGATTTTTGTTTGAGCTTGGGGATGTGATGATTACTCTGTTCTGGTGCAGAGATCTAGAAGGATTGAGCTGGATCTGTATGCTACTCAGAGTAGGAGGGACATTCAGAAAAAAAGAAATTCAAAAGGATTTAAATTTCCTTAGAGCTGTCAGAGGCAATCCTTCCAGTCGGGCATTACAAGCCCTAAGAAGGCTAGATCCAGCAGTGTTGGCACTCAGTTTGAACGAAGAAATGTGACATGTGTCGAAAGTCTCACAAGGGTGAGTGTCTGTTTGGATCCAACACTTGTTTTTGGTGCCACCAACTAGGACATGTGGGGAAGAATTGCCCTAAGCTGGATTAGGGGGCTCCAGCAAATTCCAGAGGCAGTGTTACACCACCTCAGAGGAGTTATGATAGACAGAGGGCAGTTGAATCTTCAAGGTCAGTACCAGACTCGACAGAATGTTCAACCCAGAGTATATGCCTTTCCGCAACATGAAGCTAAGGATTCTTCTGGCGTCATCACAGGTATGTCTCTCTTAACAATTTTTTTTTAACCCAGTGCACTTTAAGCAACATAAGGTTCATGTCACGTCATGCATCAAACAAGTAAGCGTTTAAATATATTAACAATCCAACTCTAAATGTTAATGTGATGATTTTAATGATAGGCATCATACATCTTCAGAGTAGACCGATAAGAGTATTATTTGATTCGGGAGCATCAAACTCATTAATAGCTAATGAACTCGCTCAAGTGATGCAATTGAATATTATTTCAATGTCTGTGATACTATCTATTAGAATTTCAAATGGTGTTTTTCTAGAAGTTCATAAATCATGTGAGGTAAAGCTTATGATTGGAGGATGAGATTTTGAGGCCCAACTTATTGTGTTGACTTTGGTGGAATTTGACATGATTTTAGGCATGGATTAGATGTCTGAAAACTGCCACTATTGATTGCAATAAGGAAGCCGTCAAAATAAATGTATTAATGGAGGCAGAAGTTAAATTTTATGGTGACTGAGGATTGACATATATGATAATTACCTACATGAAACCCTTTAAAGTGTTGAATCATGGAAGCAGGGGTTTTCTTGCTCAGATAATAGATACTTCTAAGGAAGTACAGTATTTGGGTGATATTTCAGTAATAAGAGAATATCCAGAGGTGTTCCTTAATGAGCTACCAGGACTACCACCAGTGCGAGAGATTGATTTCAGTATTGAGCTCTTACCAGGTTTTGAGTCTGTATCCAAGAAGTTGCAGGAGCTG